TTTGCAACCCAGCCTCCAATCTTCCCTTTATTTGCATCTAATGTCTTCGAAACCCTTCCTCCACTCATTTTATTTACTGCGTCATAAGCCCCAAGTGCTTTTGCTCCAAATGCTAATGCTTTTGTTCCCATTGCGCCTAAAGCTGTCCAAGCTACCATTTACACCATATTAAAATCATCTCTCTTCAATATTATCTCATAAAAGTTCTCGTTACTGGAGAAAGTCAATGAAACATAAACATTCTCATTCATAAACTTCTTTCTTATCTCATCTATACGCTTCAAAATGTCTGAACAATTGCTAACATCTTCTACAACAGTTATTTCATCATGAATGACCTTCAAGAACAAGCTCATTTAATATGCTATTAAAATCATCTCAATAATGAGTCCATCCTTTCCGTCTTTAGGTAGCACAACATCTTTCATTGAAGAAGGTTCGACAAGTCTTATGTTAAACTTACTGACAAAGTTTGTTATACTATAATGCTTCGCGGCGAATACATGTAGTTTGAAAGACATAATATAGATTCTTCAGCAAATTCACTTATACTGGATTTTATAACAATGTTCTCACGAGACCAAATACCACCAATTGACAATCTTGTAAGCAATCCTGCTGAACCTTCTACTGTAAACGTCGATGGTAACATTCCACGAAGGTCATCTATTGACATCTTTGAGTCACTGAATTTAAATATTTTCTTAAAGCAATCGTCATTATCTAACCATGCAATAGCTTTGAAGTTTTCATTCGAATATACATCTGCTTCATTAAATGTAAAACCTGACTTCTTTGCAGAGACGACTTTAAAATCTATTGCATTTGTTTCAAAATTATATACTATGGTAACTTCTGAAGGTAATGGATGTCCTTCCGCAGTCAGTTGTTCTCTCACTACCGTTTGAAGCTTTGTGTTAAAAACTTTCATGTCATCTCCTGTGTCTAGGTTCACATACACAGCAACAGGAAAACTATCTTGCTTCTTTGTTTCATCATTATACCTCAAAACATTAAAGTTCTTCAATAATATTGTTCTTCCTGCTGGAATACTTCTAACTTGTCTTATTTCAATAGCTTTCTCACCTCCTACATACTCTACCCAGTGTCTTGGATATTCATAAGTATACTGACTTTCTTGAATTTTGGTAGGTTTCATCATAACGTGTTCATAGTATATCTTTATACTCTTGTCAGTTAGACTCGGTGCTATGTTCTGAATATTTCTGACTTGCATTTTTAATGAAGATAAAATGAAGCATTTAATACATGACGTAGATGAAGACATGAATGAAAGCAGTGAAAAGCTCAACAGTTCTCTCATTCTTCCTTTCAGTAAGGACTATGAGTTCTGTTCAAATGGTGTGTATTTCTATTGTGGAAAGATGGGTTCAGGTAAGACATTCAACCTCATTCGTCATATACTCATAACAGAGCGTTTAGGAAACGACTCTTACTATGACCAAATCATTATATCAGCAACTTCAGACTCTATGGATTCAACAGCGAAAACATTTATGTCAAAAGTTCAAGCCTCTGTCGTTAAAGTTCCAGATAGCGAACTCATTGAATTTCTTCAACGTTACATTCGACGTAAGAGAAATATTATGCTATTGTAGAGTTCATACAGTCAGGAATGCAAAAGACTTCAGAAGAGATGGAAAGAATTATTGACAAACACCACTTACGTCAATACTCAGGAGTTTACGATATGAAACGACTGACAAACTACATTCTATCAAAACTTTCAAAATACCCCTTCAAAAAGTATCCTTCAAACACTCTGCTCGTTTGTGACGACTTCGCCGGAAAAGGTTTAGTGTCAAAAGCAGACTCACCATTAGCTAACATCATAACTAAAGTCAGACATTACCACTTAACTGTAGCAATACTTATGCAAACATGGCGTTTCCTTGCTTTAAACATAAAACGTCTCATAACTGACTTCGTTATCTTTCAAGGTTTCTCACGCTATGACATTGAACTCATTTGGAAACAGTCAGGTATAACATTACCTTTTGAAGAAATTTGGGAAGCATATAAGTCTCTCATCTCTCCTCGTTCATACCTTGAGATTCATATCATGACTAATACCATTAAAGTCAAAAACATTCCATGGAACGACCAACATTGTTTTAAAGTTTAACCTTCAATTGACTGATGGTAAACAAATTCCATGCATCTCTGTCGCCATTTCTGTTAATATTTTTGCTGTCATTCATATCATCCACTTCCCCATCCGTTAGCTTTTGAGGATATGTGTTAGAATAGCTGTTCTTAAATGAAGGCTTTTCACCTTTGAGAGCATAAACTCTATAACTTTCTGCATACTTTATGTTTGAACCTCCTGAGCCATCATTGACATAAATTTTTATAGGCTTCCACCCTTTGTTCATATTCCTGCTTCTTCCCTTAGCTCTTTTGTTCAGTAGTTCTACATCTTTATACACAGCTCCTGTCTCAGTGAATTCAACAATATTTTCATTCGTTAGCTTTACATTCAAACCCTTGTCGAGTATATTGTTCATTTCATACATATAAAAGGTTTTTATTCTATATGAAATGAGAAGCAAATCCATCTTAGCTGGTGCCGTTAATGTTCCAATTGAACCAACATCAAATGTTGACTCACGAACGACAAACAATATTGTCATAAAGAACTATAGTTCAGAGTGTTTGAAAGAAAAAGAACCAGAACTTAAGTCGGGAGGGCTCAAAGAGCCCATCTTGGCGCATGGCGCCGTGAATTTAAACTCAGCTTCAAACGCTAACGCTACATCAGATGTTAAGTTAGAGTATCCACCACTGGACCAAATTCTTTCAAGAGAAGCCAACGACAACCCTTACACAAATGTTCAAACAAATCCTTCAGATAACGTAGACCATTACCTTCTTCAGTTATACCAAACAATTTTACTCAAAGACGATAAGAAGCTTTTGACAAATCTTATAAGCAAGAACCAAATAATTCTAACAAAGGAGGACCTTGAAAATGTTATCTCACGAATAACAGGGAAACAATGTGTCATTGACTATCTCGACCCTGAAATCGAATGCTGTGGTCAAACTCCACTATTCATGAAAATAGGTAACATCCGCATCATTGAAACACCAGGAACTACAGGAGTTGAGTTTAAGTATAAATATTCGAACGAGTATACAAAACTATCTACTTACTATAAGCTTTGCTTGAAATATGTTTTAGTAAATTAAAGCAGTCAGGAGGGCTCTTTGAGCCCATCTTGGCGCTTTGCGCCGTCAGTCAAAAAAATTCAAGTTAGCAATTTGTAATATCTGTCCAAAACTTCTTCAACAGTATCGAACTCATCTTCATAATGCAAACCTAATCTTATTGACTTGGTGCAGTTTTCACTAACACAATATAGCGCTTTGCGCTCGGCGCCTTTGACGCCTTTTTCTGTTCTCTTGACTGGCATAACTAACTCATTTGTTTCATCAAACAGCAACAACCAAAGTTCATGACCTAATACATAACATTCATACTTTATATTTTTAGCTCTGAGTTCTCTTGTAAGCTGTTGCATTTAATATTTTCTAAAAAGTCAACTTCAACAGTCATTCGCACTGGTGCCTTCAGTTCTACAGGCTCTCCTTGAAAGTCAACAAGTCTGAATTGCATGTCTTTCAAATTATGAGGACTAATGCGAACCCATTTACCTAAATGAGTTGCTATGACAGGAACGTTTGGAATGAACATTGAATTGACTGCATAACAGAAGGATTTATATTCTACTGAACCTTTACTATTAACTCCTGAAATACCTGTGACATTAGCTATTTTTGACTCAACGTACAAACAATTACCATAACATACGTATGGAACAGATTTCATCTCAATCGTTTTGTCAACACTTTTCAAAGGAAATGTCATATGGTATGCTCCCAGAAGAAGTTGTACTCTATGACTCATTCTTGGTATCTTGAACTCTTTCTTGCTACTGAACTTCAATGTTCCCTCAGAAGAGAGTTCGACATCTATGTTGTCAATAGTTTCTTCATTTATGAGAGTATCTATGACTCCAGCAATTTTATCTATTCTGTACTCGGCTCTGTTAGGAAATGTTACAACACTTCTTTTGTCATCTATTTCAACTCCATGAAATCTGTTTCATCTGTTATGACAAAAGTTGCGATAGTATTGAAGTCAACAACTCTGAAAGCAAGCGCTTCATTCTGAAGACCTAAGTTTGTTTGTAGCTTTACTGTCCCGTATTCGTTTGGGTCTGTACTTTGCAAATAGAACAACATTTTATTCTCATTAAAATATGACTATTGCTGCATATGCGTATGAAACAAATGAAGCAAGAAGAGCACATGAACTAGTAAACGAAAACTCAACTTTAACCATTGAAGGCAATGATTTAGTCATTGACGATGGAAAAACTAAAAAAGTCATTGATTTCGATACTTTTAACACTTATGACCCATTCATTACAACAAGCAAGGTTCCCATCATAAATGATGGAACGGTGCAATATATAAATTCTACAGTAGATGCCTCATTAGTGAAAGTATTAAATGTTCTCATTGAATTGTTAAAGAGCTTTCGATTTGACGACAACATTAAATGCCTAAAGAATTTAGTCATGAATGAGAAACAAATTCTCGGCGTTGCTGGTAGCAGTAATGATGTACACCTTATGACATTAGAATATTATAACGAACATAAAGATGAACTGAAAGGAGAGAAGGGTGACACCGGACCTCAAGGACCACAAGGAATACAAGGAATACAAGGAATACAAGGACCTCAAGGCGAAAACGGTTTGGATGGAAAGGATGGAAAGGATGGAAAAACTGCTAAATCATGGATATGGGACCTTATAAATACTGGTTTAACAGCTGCTTCATATGGAGTTCTTCAATACCAAATCGGAAAGATATGGGCGGTACTTGGTGAAGAAGTTTTAAATGACGTTAAAAATGCTTTGAACTTCATTTCAAATGGTTCGGATACTATTAAAACTTTATCTGGTTGGATGCAAGAAACAAGGAGTCAAATAGATACTGTAAGACGTATAGCAAACAATGCACGTACGGGATTGGATACTTTACGACAAGCACAAAATACACTAAAGGAAGCAAATGATATTCTTGGCTCAGTATCAGACATGCATGAAGATTGGCTTAAAGGTATTGACAAATCTTTAAAAAATCACAGTCAGTCTATTGCTGACTACAAGAAAAGTATAGATTTTTTACATAGTGCTATGGACGTACATGATGGAAGCATAAGGAACTTACTTAATGCTAACAATAACTTACCAGGAACTATTAAAGCATTTATAAAGTCCTTTGTAAAACCCGGTGCTCTAACATTTAGGTCTTTGAGAGCAAGAGCATTGAAGTCAAGAGATGCAGAAACTCCAACAGAACCTACAGAAGGAACTGAAACAACAGAAACTCCAAAAGAACCACCAAAACCAACAGCTAATGAAATATTGTTCGAATATTTTCCAAGGTACTCTGTTCTCATTGCATACATTCAAGAAATACTTAAGAAAGCAGACTTGACTTTAGGAGATGATGAAAGTTCTGTATATCTTTCGTTCCAGTTTCAAATAGCAGAACTTTTGAGACAGATATGCTTAATGTATGACAACATCTCTGATTTCACAAGATATGATGACGACCATGACCCCGAACATGGTGAAGAAGAAGTTTTACAAACATCCATTAAGACAGGAAAGGTTTTAACTCAAAGTCTCATTATTGACACCAAAGATGGCGAAGTGGACGTTCTTCAAGAGCTGAAGAAAAATACTTCTTCGGGAGGTGGTGGTAGGCATGAACTTGAAATAAATGAGATAGAAGAGAAATTAGCCGAAAAAGCAGATAAAGAACATAAACACAATATCTCCGATATAAATGAACTTCAAGCTACATTAAATAGTAAAGCGGACAAAAATGAACTTGACGCAATGAACAAAGTTTTGAAATCTCATAAACACAACATCTCCGATATAAATGAACTTCAAGCTACATTAAATAGTAAAGCGGACAAAACCATGTTCATTATATAACTTCAGACGAACAGATTATAACGGACTACCATGGATATTTAACACGAAGTGATGAAGCGAAGACAAAAAATGTTAATGAAAGAAGATATAAATACATTCGTGCTAAAGGTTATGACATAAGCTGTACTGTACAGTATGATGTAGCTAAAGCACCAGAAGCATTTGGTTATACCGGTGAAATTTATGCCTCTACTTTCAATGTTAACGGTGTATTAGTTGAACCAAGATTTATGTTAAGAGTTAAGGCAAAAATAACGTTTGAAGATGCTATTAAAAGTAAAGCTGACAAAGTTGAACTCGAAGCAACGAACAAAGTTTTGAAATCTCATAAACACAACATCTCCGATATAAATGAACTTCAAGCTACATTAGACAGTAAAGCTGACAAGAACCATACACATAAATCCTTCACTACTGTTAGAGCAGACGACATAATATTGAACTTTGACCTTGGTTCAAGTGCACCATTAGAAAATCCAAGTACAAGCGTAAAAGATACTCTTAACAGTTTAGATAAGAGTTGCAGGAACATTGAAAGTCATGCCAGAAACTTTGAAGCATATGAACTACCGCAATGTTAGATAAGAAAGCAGACAAAACTTATGTAGATGAAGAACTATCAAAGAAATTTTCGAAACCAGATACAATGACATTTACAACAGAAATTATAAATGGTGAACCAGCAACTCCATTTGAATTTGTTAGAGGTCTTCAACCAGATACTTTTGAATTTTTCTTGGATAATTCTATTGAACTAACATTACATTATAAAAGTGGAACAAATGCAACATTTCATCCGGGAGATACATTCCAAATGGTATTTAATGACATAAGTTCTTTAGAATATGTTTATAGAGTTATGAGCATATATGATTTAATATATCCTATAGGAGCTGTTTATACGTCTATGAATCCAATAAATCCAAACACTTTATTTGGTGGTAGATGGTATGAAATAGTTGACAGTTTTCCATTCTACACTAATACTCAGTCAATGAAGATGGGAGGTTCAAAGAAAATAGGTATTGAAAACCTTCCTTCACATATGCATAGGTTCAGTGGAAGAACATCTGTGGAAGGAAACCATTCACATTCAATAACAAAAAGAGGTTATACAAATCTTGCAGCGGGTTCGGATAGACAGGGAATGCATAGATATGATATCACAACTGACCCCAAAGATGTTAGCACAGGTATTTTCTGTGGAACTGCAGGAAATCATACACATGTTGTAGCTGGTATTACAGACCCAGCAGGTAATGGAAAAGATTATATGCCTCCTTATATAACAATGCACGCTTGGATACGAGTTGGTTAAAATCTTTAACTTTACATAAATGAGCTTGAAAGAAGTATTCGAACAACATCCATGGAGGTCATTTAAGAAATTCAATGAAGCTGCAAAGAGTTGGGGATTTACTAACAGAGCTGAAGTGAAAAGGTTCTTTGACAAAAATGTTGTACATCAAACAAAAATAAACCCTTACGACTACTTTTTACCAATTTACTCCAACACTCCTGACGCATACCAATTTGACACTCTCATTCAAAGCAGAAAAGGAGGACATAAACCATTCCTCATCTTCATAAATGTTAACACTCGTAAAGCATATGCATATCCAATGAAAAATAAAGGAACTCGTGAAGTGTTAAGAGTTTTACAAAAGTTTGTAGCAGAACATAACCCAAGTACTTTAACATCAGACCAAGACAGTGCATACCTCAGCAATGAAATCACAGAATTTCTCATTAAGCATAACATAACTCACTACACTACTGAAGACCATAACCATAACATACTCGGCATCATAAACCGCTTCATAAGAACGCTCAGAGATTTAAATCAAGAGCGAGACTTTACCGAAGAAACAATGAAACATTTTCTCGAAGTATATAATTCCTCAACACATTCTACAACAGGACATACACCAAATTCAATGACACAACAACAAGAAGAAAAGTATATACAAAAGAAACGAAGCCAAACACAAAATATCAGAAATTCAACACAATTTACCCTCATTCCTGGTACAAAAGTTCGTGTAGTTCTTGACGACAAACCGTTGACAAAGAAACGTTTAAGGTTAAGTAGAAACTATTATATCGTAGACTCTACACAAGGTAATGGATATCTTATAAAAGCTGCTGACGACTCCATAGCATTTTACCCTCGACATAAGTTAGTTGAAAGTAGTAATGGCAAACTTGCTGAAACCATTGACGAAGCAAAGCGAGGAGTGGTTATTGAAATACTTGGCTACAACATAAACGATGACACTTATAAAGTAAGATATGAAGGAGGTGTTGAAGATGTTATACCATCTAAGAACTTGAGAGAGTCAAAGCCAACACATCTGGGACCATTAGAGCGGGAGTACTGGAAAGACAAAAATATGCCAGAAAGAATAAGAAAATTCTTCTAAACTTTTTCATTAGATGTAAATCAGACATGAATGAGAACAGTCATGATATCATTAATGGTACCATTTATTTACACCAAAAAATAATGTTTATGTTAGAATGTTAGATCTAACACGTTTTCTAACCACTTTTCTAACATGGTCTAAAACTCTCGAAAATCATGAATTTTTGACATTTCCTTATGAAAGAAAAATAACGCTAATTTTTTTCTAAGAAAAATTTTATCTTGTATGTAAAGATATGATTTCAACAATCGGCACAACAACAATTCAAACTACAGCACCAAACTCGTTAGTCATGAATCCAACATCTATGTTAGTAGAGATGAAAAGCTTCATTCCTTCTTCATATACTTTCGAAACAAAAATCCAGAAGATAAAGCAAGAACTTTTAACAAGTAATTTAGACTGTAGTGCGAAAGATGAAACAAATGAACAGTATCTTTATGAAATGCAGGACATTATTGACCATTTACCCAAATTGCCTGAAATCCAACAACAAAAACTAACTATTCCTGAATTCGACGAAATTGAAGTCAAAACAACTGACTCAGTAGAAATAAAGAAGTTCATACGTAAAGTAAATTATGAATTCCTTGGTTTTCATTGCAACCATAAAGTTATGGACAAAGATTGCGACATGGTTTATAAGAATGTTTCTGACATATATAAATCTGAAGAATTTAAGACCTACGATAACTTTGTTTCATTAGTTGCTGAATGTGTTGGGAAATAAAGATAAAGATAGAAGAGGCAAAGTATGGAACGAACAACTAAGACCGCTATGTTTGAGATGAAGAGAGCAATTGACGCCTTAGTTGTTTTAGCAGGTCAAATTTCAATGTATAACGCAAAAATGAACCCGCAATGTTCAAAATGTAAGGCAGCGATGAGGAAATATAACTACTCCGTCAAAGAGATAGAAAGAATGAGAAACGACTATGCAGATTTAAAGAAAGAAGTAGAAAAGCCAGCAGAAGATAAAATGGACATGTTAGCATTTCTGAACAAAAATTATCCAACTGCTGACGATTTCCTTCTATCTGACGTCAAGAAGAAAATAAAGAAACCTTCGGCATTGTTAAAACATTCGATGTACTAAAAGAAGAAATAGAAGCTACAAAACTGTTTAAAGTCATGAACCATCGCAACATATACCATGTAAAACGCTTGTAAATAGTTATGTTAGAAAAGAGGTTAGAAAACGTGTTAGATCTAACATGCTAACATAAACATTATTTTTGCTGAATTCAGCACAAAATTCTGAGTAAAATGACATATGCACGTGTCAAACCGTTGAGTTTTCACAAATTTTAAAAATTGCTGCGGAAAGTTCGTCAAAAAAGTGAAGTTCCCGACGGTTTCAAACCGCCATACTTTACATGAAGATAGTTTACAATGTCAACTAAATATCATGTACGATAGAAACGGTTATGTAAAGTTTACATTTTGTAAAGTTTTGTCCTGATTCAAGACAAGTCTTGTATTTTTTCAGAACAAGTCTTGTATTTTTTCAGAACAAGTCTTGCACTTTTTCAGGAAATCCTATCGTCTAACTTTACAAATGTCACTTTTTCGACATGATTGCATTTTGGTCGGGGAACAACTTTCTCCCATTTTGTCACTTTTTTCTATCGTCGTGTTTTGTCACTTTTCCCTCAGGGTGTGTGTCAGAAAATATCCAAAATCTTTATAGCCTCGTATCTCCTTCAATTCTTGACGGCTTGACATGTATGACACACCATTCAATTCAGAATTATGTGCTGAATCTTATGACCTTCATTTGTTCGTGACTTCTTTTCACATATGTAACCCTGAATTTTTAACATTTCTTTAACACAGAAAAATAAAGTTAGTTTTATTTTTATTTATTTTTTTATTTTGTATGTAAGGACAGATATGTCAACAACAGAGAACACAACAACTGCTATCGTTCATGAAGCCATAAATGAAGAATACGAGTGGGTTCAGTTTAACAAACAACTCCGTCTCATTCGTTCGGTCAAAGACGATATGTACCAAATGCAAAGTATTTTGACAGCATGTTTTGCTCCAGACACTAAACACGCAGACGACTGGTTCAAAAACCAAAGCACACAAGAACTTTTGAGTGAAATTTCTCTAGACCGACTTTTTCGGTCATGCATAAAACACATGAAAATCGTAAAAATTTGCCAATAAATTTAAGAGGTTATTATGTTCATAGACTTTTAGTAAATGCAGTTGCAATGTGGGCTTCTCCTCGTTATGCATGGCATGTTTACAGACTTCTTGACGAAATTCATAGACAAGAACGTGGAGAGATGGAAAAGAAACTTCAAGCAAAAGATGAAGTCATTGAATCCAAAGACAAAAGCATACAGAAAAGAATACCACGTTCGGTACCAAAAGGAAAGGAAAAGAGTTATAAGTATATGATATATAACTGAAGAGTTGGAGAAAGAAGAAGATAGAGATATGGTTATGTTGCATTTAGTCAGAAGAAACAACAAAAGCTTTTATGACCTTGCTAAGATTTACAAATCTGACAGAAACTGGTTCTATCGTGAAAACTTACCGATTTCAATGACACCGAATGAGCAAATAAAGGAAATTGTCAAAAATACTCTTCCTCAAACACACTATGACATCAAAGGTTGCACAATACTTACATTCAAAGAAGACTTAACATTACTGAAGGAAAAAATAACAGAATATTTCGATAACTTCAAAGAGGAAGAATAAAAAAATCTAAGCTAATTTTATTTTTTTTATAAAATTTTATCTCATATGAAAGAACATGAATTTAGAATATTCGGAACTCATGACAGAAGAAGAGAACGAACAACATGTAAAAGATTATGCAAAATTTCTGAAGACATACAAAGCATTTAAACAATATCTAAATGCTTCTAAAGATTATGCAAAATTTGAAGGTATATAAAGCTTATGAAAAAGCGTATGAAAAGTTTATACATTGGGGAATTGTTGTAAAATATCGATATGAAGACTAACCAAAAATATATTTTTGCTTAAATGACGTCAGGGTCAATTTCTTCAACCATTTCACTTCCTTCGTCAATGTCAGAAGCTTCTTCAACCTTTGGTAAGAACTTTTGTATAACATCTTTGTTCGTTATTGTTTTCAGAGATGAAGAATATATTTCACATTTGTTTCACCCTTCTTATATTCTTTCTGTTCGGAAAGATTCATAGCAATACTGAAGAAGTCAATGTTGGAGTTCTTTATAATAGTATAATGAGTATCTTTGACATTCACGAAGAAACTCTTTTGTTTCAAAACTACTGCTAACTCTTGTGAAGTATAACGTTTGCGGTCAATGACAATAGCTAATGGTCTGACATACTGACCAAACTTAGATTCTTTCACAAACTTCTTGTTAAAGATAACATTGACGTTTGAAGCATTATTGAACTCATTCTTGATGACAGTAGCGAGAGCATTGTATGAAAAGAACTTGCAATCTTGCATGTGTTTCATTAAAATAAAAATATTAAATTATTTTGAAAAATAACTTAAAAAAATCTAATCTAATTTTTTCAAAAAATATTTTTTTTATTTCCTACTAAAGATGTATCGGAAGTTGTCTAAGTTAGAACACTCGGAAATAAAACAACTTCTTACAGAAGCTAATATAGATGTTGCAAAGCATTACACAACAAACAAAAAGGCACTCGCTGACATCCTCAATGACTATAATGGTGAAATAACTTATGATAGAATTCATGAGTTCATAAAGCCGCAACGCGGCGAGGACGAAGTCCATGCAAGAGCATTTCCTTTAAATGACGTTGCTTATTGAACTATATCATGAAGACGTTCAGATACTAATGAATAGA